TGAATTGGGAGAGGAAGATCATCTTGTTCTTCCAATGTGGCAATTACAGCAAGCAACAAAAGGTAGTACTAGCCACATATGAATTCACTTGATTATGCAGCTAAATGGTGGGAGCAGGTACAGCTCAAGAGAAGAAGGAATATGTAGCTGAATGTGACAACCTAGGCTGAATTGAGAGGGCTGGTGAGAGAGAGCTTTGTGCCTGGATACAATCAAAGAGAATTCTTTGATTCGTTGCAAGGGGGTCAAGAAGGAACACAATTTGTTGAGGAGTATTTGCGGGAGCTTCAACAACTCTTGATGAGGGCAAACGTGAGAGAATATAAAGAAGCTACAATTTCTCTATCACTATATGGCCTCAATCGAGAAAGACGAAGTTGAGCTTCGTTAGTTTGTGGAGCTGGAGGAAGTGGTTCACCTAGCCATTAAGGTGGAGAAGCAGTTAAAGGTCAGTTATGGAAGAACGCTACCTTCAACTAAACAAGTTGCAGAGGACATGGGTGATACCCCTATGAATCATTTCAGGCCAGAATGAGTCAAGCCAGCACGTAGAATATTGTTCCTGTCATTCATGCCAGACTGGAAGGATCAGCTAGAAGCCTCTAATGCTTCAAATGTCTAGGTCGTGGTCACAAAGCAAATCAGCGTCCTAACAAGAAGACTCTGGTTTTGCAAGATGGAGAATTCTTTTTTGAGGAAGAGGTTGAAGAGAATCCAATAGGGAAGTTAATCTATTATGATTCTAATGATGATGTTGATGAGTACATCATTGTTAAAATTCTTCCGATAGGTAATTTTCTTGGATTCAATCATAAGTGCACTCCCTTGAATCTCTAGTTGAACAAGAAACACTAGATAATCTATTTCATACCCGCTACATGATGGATGGAAATTTGTGATCTATGGTGATCGATAGAGGTATTTGCACCAATGTAGTGAGTCTTGATGTAGTTGAGAAGCTGGGGTTTTGAGCACCATAGAGCATCTACATCCTTACAACCTACACTGGTTGAACGACTATAGAGCCATCAAGGTTAACAAGAAGGCCAAGGTTTGATTTTAGATTGGTGAGTATGCAGATGAAGTATGGTATGATGTTGCCCCAATGTAGACTGCTCATCTCTTATTGGGTCGTCCATGACAATATGAGCCTAGATTTATTCACGATGAGAGGCATAATAGCTACCGGTTCAAGCAAGGAAATCAGAAGTTCCTACTCAAACCATTGTTTCCAGTTGAAGTACGAGAAGATCAACGACAGATGGAGCTAAATTGAGCAAGAGAGAAAGGAAATGCAAGTGGCTCAAAGTCGAAGGATGGAAGTGGAACCCATATTTTGGCTCGAAGGTACATGTTGACTGCTCTGAGAAGGATTAAGTTAAGAATTCCTAGTGATGTTTTCTCTTGCATGAACACTCAAATTTTGAGAGCGAAACTTTTCCAACAGGTAGGGATTGATGCGAGCCTCCAGAGTGACCCAAAATAACTATACTTGAAGCGGGAAGAACGGTGCACCTCATGGAAGCAAGAAGGGACAAAATAGATACAATTCCTGGCCATGAAGACCAATTTCCTGACCGGGGATAATCAAGGCCAGCTGCGAATAATGACGAGCTGAATTTACATTTTTTAATTAGGATTCTTTTCCTTATTGGGTTTGTTAGTATTTTTTGTTTCTTTGGCCTATATAAAGGCTTAAAATCAAGTTTTAGGTAAGTTTTGGAAGAATATTGATTTTATCTTAGTTCATTGAGCTTTAGGCTTGTGAACTTTCTCTGTATCAATCATGTTTCCCCTTGGTTGTGGTCGAGATTCTACCCTATATTGATAGAGCCTTCTCTCAGGTGTGAGATTCCACTTTAATTCTGCCTTGTCCCTAGTTCTAAACCCAGATCTTAGTTGTGCGACTTTGATAACTATGCGAACTAGTTCCGTGCTCATATCAATAGACCCTAAAATAACGATATTTTCTCAAATGAATGAATTGAGGTTATATTTGATGGCATACTAATAATGAAGACCCTGAAATGATGAAAAAAGGCTAAATCTAGGTTCTAAATAACATGAATTTGGGTGTTATCAGTTACTTTAGCCATTTTTTGTGTTTGCTTTCTTTTGGTTTTGTACTTATGGTTTTGTGTTTTATTAACCCACTCTTCGTCTTGAAGGGTGGTTTGTGTTTGTTTGGTTTTCTTTTTAATGTTTTTGTTTATGTAGGTATTGGATAATGGATCCTTATGATTTCACCAAAGTGTGGGGGTATCCACCACCACTCGAAAGTGGTTACCTTGGCTTTCATAGAACGATCAAGATGGTCGAAGTCAAGGATTTGGGTTCTATTACCAACCCCTCTTCTAAGAAGAACAACCATACAAATGGGGATATAAAAAAGCTACAGCATATCAAGAAGATTTTCCTCCACAACTTGAGGTAAAATCCAAGTTGGAGTTGGCCATGGAGGCTTTCTTGGGGCATTCCTCAAGACCATGTGCTACTCCACAATCAAAGCCAAAGAGCGAATTGGAGCTCATGGTGGAGCAATTTTCCCGGGGCACTGGCGAAGGATACTCTAATGTGGATCTACCCTTCGCTGACCCTATCGACTCATCCTTTCTACAGACGTCGGAGGAAGTACTTCGAAACTCGGAGAGGCTAGGAGGGATTGGTTAGCAAGCATGTACACAACTTGCTCACAATCGTCTCCTACCATTTGAAGAAGGAGAGGAAGTCGAAGAGGCAAGCCATGAGTACTTTGGAAGAACGAGGTCCGACATAGATTTCCGATCCTCCCTCCTCCCAGTTTGACATTGCAAGAGAAGGTGGCGCTACTTTATGCAAGCCATCTCCTCTCATCATTGCAGGAGAAATAGGAGGTTGAAAAGGCGATCAATGACAACCGCTTGGAGCAAGAGGAACTGACACCAAAGAGCTCTCGTGGTGAGGATGACCAAGAGAGTTGCATTGATGAATTTCACACCTTTCCCTTCTTGAGAACAACTTTGAAGACCAAGTCACAAGGGTAGAGGAGCAAGAGAATCTTTTTAATAATCCAGCATGGCATCTTTCCCTCCAAAGAGAGCATGTGTTCATAAATTTCAAGAAGGTGGCATGTGTTTTAGCTCTCATGTGGACCTGATCAAGTGAAAACAAAAAAAAAATTTGGAGAAAATAAAGAAAGAAAAAGAAAGCAGTTGTTAGCTTATCTTGTGTTGTACTTGGTTTGCTTGGGGACAAGCAAACATTCAACTGTGTTGGGGGATGGGATGATTCGAGCTTATTTACACATATTTTGCCTCTTTTATATCTCGAGTGTTTGACTTGGTAATCGATATTCCTCGACCTATTTAACTCTATTTTGTGCTATTTTTGCCACATTTCAAGCCTTAGTACATGTGGGAAGGTCGAGGACAAGTTTCGGGACATTCAGAAGTCGAAGCGCGTCAAAAAGTGAAGAAGAGACAAAGATCATGACCTGGGCGTGAAGATCACAACCTCAGTCCTTGACCGCAGCAAGCAGACTGTGACCTCTCTCTGTTCTCTTGATTCATGTGAGAAAAACATTAAGAATTAGTTATTCTTTCTCAATTTCTTATCAAAAAATATACCTGATAATTATAACAAAATATCTTCACAAATAATAGCCTCAAACCGACCCAAATCAACCCCTCATTTGGTTGGAAGACATGCATGCTTGTGGTAGTAGTAGTCAAATCACAATATTTTAAAATTGTAAGAATGCGAATAGAAAAATAACGGATTAGCTATATGGCAGAAACACCAACCAAGTCGCTTTCTTTAATTCTGGCAAATGTTTGGAATTAATTATCCTTCTTTATTTTCGTATCAGAAAAGATACAAGATAATTGAAACAAAATATTTCAACAATTTTTATCGCAACCCAACCAAATCTGACCCACTCGCTCGATCAAAGGCACGTGTGTTCGTGGTAATCATGGTCACATCACAACATCTTAAAATTGTTGAAATCCAAACAAAAAATAAAGGATATCTATGTGGTTGAATCGTCGATTAAGTCACTTTCTATAAGATCTGGCTACCTCGTATTGCATACAACATATCATCAGTCCATTACCTCTAGAATGAAACCTCTATATTTTCGTGGTTCGTGTAAGACAAATATTGATAATTAATTATCCTTATTTGTTTTTAATATAAGAAAATTTACCAAATAATTAAATATATATATATATATATATGGTGGCTACTTCGGTGCACTCATTTTTTTGGGTGCACTGAGTGCACCCATTTCTAAAAGTGTCCATAATACATCAAATTTTGAATTTTAATTAGTACTCTCAATCTAACATGATGAAATGACATAGAATCATAACAAATCAATCTATTACCCTAATCCCTTAACCTTCAATTTTGAATCCCAATGCAAAATCCCAAACTGTAAACCTAAACCCTAACCCTAAACCCCTAAATACTAAATCCTTCAAATTAAAGTAAATCTTAAATGATTTTTTTTTAAATTCATGGGCTTATTGTTCATAATATCATAAGCAACAATTGATATCATTTTGACATGAATCGCATGTTCAGAATGATGATTATGAGGCGGGTGCGCTGAGTGTACCCAAAAAAGTGGGTGCACCGAATACGCCACCATATATATATATATTTCAAAAACTTGAGTCTCAAGCTTACCACCGAAACGCATGCGTGTTTGTAGTTTGAATCTCACTTAAGTCCCCGTCTTCCTCAAAAGTGAGCAACCCTAAAGCCTACACACTTTAAAGAGGAAAACCTATTCTTCAACATCTTTTAAAAAGTTATTCATTGCCAATAGCAACACTTTCAAATGTTTTTCTAATGGTGGTTGCTGCTTATCACTTGAGCATAATCAAAATCAAATACCAATTAAGAGTATTATGAATTAGGTGATGAATGTAGGAGTCAGAGATAGACGGTGAACCTCCGATTGTAAACCAAGTTTTAGAATTCAAATTTCAATCCATAACAATATCAATGTATGCTATAACATTCAGATTTAATTAACTTTTTTCCAATGACTGGCATCTGTATTTTCAATTTTCATCTATCGAGTTTCGTACTCATTCTAAGAAGTGATAACAGTGCAAGTGAACACATTCAAATTGGAAACCGGACTTAAAATATGATAAGAGGTATTTTGGCTCATGGATTCGGATGGTGTACTATTGTAACATGAGAAGCAAATACACAAGCTAACAGTTCGATTTTGAACCAAAGATTTTCGAATAAAAAAAACTCATAACCGCAATGAAAAAATCAAATCAAACCAAACCCCATGTGCCTACAGAGTACAATGAAGTAACCCAAAACGAAATTACAATGGATTGAAAAATGTCAAGCGGTTTGCCTGGTTGGGACAAGCAACCATGAACTGTCTGAACCCCACGCATAAAACAGGGGACAACAAAAGCAGAATTCTTATAAAATCTTCAATCATGGACAATGGCATGGATCAGGATGGATGCCTCATCATTGGTCGGAGCCACATCTTCTGTTCCAAGTTCCACCACGCACCCAAAAACAAGGCAGAGTAATGGACCAGTGTCAATAAAATGGAAAGCCGACTGAGTGTTTGACTGTTACAGAACATAAACCAGCTTAGGGGAAAGAGAGAGAGAGAGGAGAGCATGCCTGGCAGAGATTTAGGCAAGTGAGAGACGATGCTGTCAATGATTCCACTACTCCCTTCATCGTCGCCGACGACATCCTCCCTCTCCTCGCGGCCAACTTCATCGGCTGGAGCAGCACGTGGCGGTGGCAATTCGTGGAAAGACTCCCGTCGGTGATCTTCATCTCCGGCGGCCTCGGTTGTAGCTGCTGACGCTCTTGGACTCATCGGAGCAACCAAGTTGCCCAGCAGATTGTTCAGAATCCCACCGCCTCCACCTCGCTTCTCCTCTTCTTCTTCTTTGTCCTCTGCATCAACGCAGCCTTCACTTCCTTTCGAAGGTAGATTTTCTTCTTCCGCTTCCGGAAACATATGACGAGCTTCCATTGCACAGTCTTCCATTTCTAATTTTAGCACAGCCTACCAATGAGAGGGCCTTTGTCTAAGATATTATATAGGCACAAAGTCGGCTATAGAAGACAAGCGAGGGAGGGACAAGCGTCCGACGGAAAGAGCCGCCCTAAAGATGGCAGGCTCTCAGTTATTTTACACGTACTTCGTAACTATTGTCTGATATAAAGGAGCCAATAAGCATGTGACACCTCAAACCCCTCAAAGGGTCGGTGGAACTGGAATTGGAATTCGGAATCGGGAATTTAATCCCTTTTTGTTTCTGTGGGCTGGGCCGGGCCGGGCCGGGTCAATGTGGAGTTCGTCCACCCACCGCAACTACCAGGCTCCCGTTTGGGCTTCACCTACTAAATTCAGTCTGAGAAGGCGACATCGTTTTTACCTCATAATTAGTTTCAACTCTCAAAGGCCGCTTCAAGATGAAACAAAAGAAAGCAGCCTACTGTTACTGTCTCTTCCGGAAGAAAGCAGCCTCCTCTTGAGTCTTGACATTGCCTTGCTGCAAACTTAACAAGCAACAATTCTACACGGCACATCACACACTTAAACCCGTCTATATAAGACCTTGTCTCATTTAGCTTTCTTCAGGGCATCTCTCTTCAGCTTGCGCCTCGCATCCCTCGCATCAGCATCGGTCTGGACCTTCTCCATCACCGTATCAAAGCCAGGGATTGTCCTCTCCAGCTTGCTATAAACTTGGGAACCAAGATTGTAGAAGATCTCAAGTATTCTCTGAAAAACATAAACATGCATGGAACAGAATAACACGGTCAAGAATATAAGTTATGTATTGCTTTGCAATTGGACTCTCTGCTACTGATGAATAGCTAGTGCAACAAAGCATATACCCTAACATCCTTGTTCCAGTGCCTGATGTACGGAGGACCAGTCATGTATGCTCCTAGTGGCTCACGGTACCACTGTCCACCGTATGTTATTTTATCCATTGCTTGCTCCACACTCAATACCTCCCACGGCCTTAGTCCAGGGATGATCTTCGCTAAACGTTGTCTGTCCCAAAAGGACGGACACAGTGATTAAGCTATAGATAAATTTAACACAAGTCCCTCGAAATTAAAAACAAGGAAGTGATGGATTGTACCTGAGGTCTTTCGGGATGTATTTGTTAGGCATATGATCCTGTTCCAAAGTAGGGGTAAGTTCAGGACCACTAGCCCAAAGAAATAAGGCATGGCTTGGAGTTCTGACTCCAGGCCAAACACCACCGTTGGCTTGCAGAACTGCCAAGTCTCTCTTTCTGCTCTCTATAGCTTCTTGCTGCACCTGCTTATAGGTTTTTGGCTCATGTCCCTTAAGAGGAGCCCACGGCTTTATGCCATGCTGTAGTTTCTTAAGGAGAGCTGTTGCTGCTGCACCAAATCTCACTGCCATAGCACAAACACCAAGCTCAGAAGCCAATTTGCACACATGCCCGAACACAAAAAAGAAGAACGAACCCTAAACTATGCTCTAACTTTTTATTCAGACTTATTACCAAGTGATTATCTTAGCTATATATCCTTAATTTCAAGAAACCCACAACTAAAGGTAGCGTATTTGTGCTGCTATGATTCTTCTAATTCTAGGCAGAGGCCAAATGTGTGCAGCAACATACACAAAATTGGAACTTTTTCTGACCTTCCCAAGTGGCAATTGCAGGTTCCATTCCATAAATCATGTGGATTGGTGCCCATTCGTCCATGTCTTCCATCCACACAAACGTGTCTTTGTCAATTATCCCACCACCCCACGCAGTTTTCAGCTGTATTAGCTCCATCGGTCCTCTTGTTCTTCCCAATCGATCCTTATAGTAAAACCCACCGCTTCTCATGATAACTGCCACAGCAAAATTGGCATAAAGCAAAACTAATCTGGAAATATAAGCTTCTGTGAAGTTAGACCAAACTTACAGTCATAGTAGCGCTTCTCTAGCTTCTGGTAACCAATCGCCTGAGCAACATCGATTGGCCGACTAGAGGGGTAAGGTCTCTGCCTAAACCCCCAAAGCCCAAAAAAGAACTGCCGTGCGAAATCCCAAAACTTGTCGTCGCTCTGTTTCCTCGTCATTATCGCCTTCCTCGGCATCGGCCGCCCGTCCTCTCCAGGGACATGCGGCACCGCCTGCCAGATCTTCCTGTCCTCCCATCTATACGGAATAGAGTTCTCCCTCAGCTCCAGCTCGTTGATCTTGTCGTCAATCTCTATCACTCGAGACCAGAACTCCACCAAAGGATTTGACCTGAACTCTCTCCACCACTCCTCGTTCTGTTTCAGCTCTTCCGGCGTCGGATTCTCCTTCTTCTCGAATACCGGGTCATCGCTTAGGATCTTCTCCACTTCCGGCGTGTGTCGATAGTCGGGGTCGTTTTCGTGCTCCCAGAAGAACTGGTCCACCATTTGCTTGTAGTACCCGGGCTCCGGGGATTCCTCCTCGGGCTTTTTGGGCTTCTTACTGAAGAGATTTGAGGAACTCAAGGAAGCAAAAGCCGGAGAGTCAGCTGGTTTCGGAGAGAATGAGTTGGCCAGAGAGAACAAGTTCACCGGCTGGAGAGGGTTTGGAGGTTTATTGAACCAATTGTCGAAGAAATTGAAGTTGATTGACGCCATCGCCGGTCAAATTAGGGTTTAGGGCTTTGAGTAACGCTACTGTAGCTCCGAGCAGCAGCTGGGTAGAGATGGAAATGGAGGAATGACAGTAACGAGGATAGACTGAGAGCCGATAAGACTATAGGAGTGACTTCTACGAGACGAACCAAGAAACCGGCCAGCCAGAGACGTAAACGGGCACAAATGTTGGGGCTTCCGAATTCTAGACCCAACTATATCTGGGCTATAATTCGTGTGGTCTTGGTCCAAATTAAGGCCCAATAAATTTCTCTAGGAGACGTGGTGCAGTCGCTCTTATTTGTTCTCCTTCTTTTCGTTGCTCGTCTCGATACTCCCCGACGACAGGATTTTTTCTCTAAATAGTAAACACAGTAAAAATAAAAAATTACTACAATACATAACTTTTATAAAAAAATTCCAAAATACCAAAGGTTGGCACTAAATGAGTTCAAGAAACTCAAACTAGCACCAGATCGATAGCCACAACATCGATCCACATGCATCGAGTGAAAGGGCCACGGTAGCCTGAGACACGACAAAGCGGATTGAGTGTGGGAAACTCGATCTAGATGGATTGACGAAAGAGGACTCAATCTAGTTGACACGGATCGATGACGTAGGATGCGTTCTACCCTAGATCGTGTTTGCAAGAATCGATGTTGCCCGTTCTATTGCCTTGGGCGCGAAGTAGTTGTGACACGGATCGAGTGCGGGAAACTCGATCCACCCGGATCGATGCTTTGAGAATTGAGACTCGATCCACTTGACACGGATCGATGATTTCAGACACACGCTCCACCGTTGATCGAGTACACAAGACTCGATCTGACTCGTCCGATTTACTGGGGAGAACTCATAGGATGGGAAGGTAAATCGCGAATGGTATTTTCTTTTTTTACTTTACCCAGGATTTTTTTTACTTTACATATCCTCTCTTTTTTTTTAATAAAAAATAGATGCTTTTCACGACCGCCATGTAGGATTCCACCTCAGACTAGCGCTACTGAGTCATTATACGTAACAGAACAGTTAACGGTGGGGTAACAGTTGAATAATAAATAGAATTTCGATAGGTTTGCATAAAATAAAAGAATTTTGAAAATGTTTGAATAAAAAATAGACATTGCCCAAAAAAATACAAAAATCACGTATCTATTTTCATTTGGGTGCCCAATATAATGAATCTAATTTAGATCCAAAATAAAAAGTTGGGTTTGCCCAAATATGATGTTATCGAAACTTCATTTGTCGCATAATAAATTGGGTCTGCACAGTACTTAAATTCTTCTCATCCTTAGTTTGAATGACAGACTGAAAATTTTCACTTTTTGTCTATCTTTACAAAATTCATAAGATTAAAAGCGAATTCAATAATATTGAATGTGATCCAATTAAATCAAAATATCGATACACTTGGATTTTTTTTTTTTTGGTAGAAGTCGACACACTTGGATTTAGTCCAACATGAATCAAATTGTTGCCCACTGAAAAATCAGTTGCGTTTTATCTAATCCGGAAGTCAAAAGTGAGATTTAGGTGAAGCTATATTTCAAATCATTCCACAGGTTTCTGTCACGACCTTACTCTCGATCGTGCGGCCCTAGCTCTCAACTCCGTTAGAGCGCTAGGCAGCCTTTCTCTCAAACTCACAAGCAAGCAAAGACAAGAACAAAGACAAAGGATTGGGAGAACTCTCAAGTGTGTATTACTCTCAAAAATGATGGAATGAGTTACAAGTGAGGGAGATGGCTCCTTATATAGGCCTCTCCTCATACAAGGCATCAATGCCCCTCATAATGGTCCCTCTACATCAATACACCCCATAAAGTCCCCCCATAATGCACTCTAATAATGCTACCCATAATGTAGCCCATAAGTGCACCATTAAGCTCTCATTTAGGTGGAGAATCCTAGGAGCATCTCTATGCTACTAGTCTTCCATGCATGCCACATGTGCAGCCGCCATGTTGTCACCTTGTTGGCGCCATGTCATCTACCACATGTGACATCCTCCCCCACCTATGCTCGCGATGCCCTCGTCGCGTCCTCTTGATGGAATGTCTCGACCAAGTCCTTGTTCTTCCAAAGCGTGAGCTCTTTCTCCCAAGTTGCTTCACTCTCCGGAAGGTTGCGCCACTTGACTAAGTACTCCACAAAGCTTGGATGTACGCAACGACGAGGAATGATACGACGCGCCATGATTTCTTCAACTTCATGGTCGTGTGTCTTGGTGACGAGTGTTGGTGCGCGTTGCGACTCCCTTCGTTGCTCGTCCTCCTTGTCTTCGTGGTAAGGCTTGAGCTGGCTCACATGAAAGACCGGATGGATCTCCAAGTGCGTCGGCAACTCTACCTTGTATACCACATTGCCAATCCTCTTCACGATGGGGAATGGCCCTTCATAGCGGCGAAGCAGTCCCTTGTGCACGTTCTTGAGATGCTTGAAGCGATGAGGATAGAACCTGACCATCACCATGTCTCCCTCTTCAAACTCCAAGTGCCGCCGCTTCTTGTCCGCCCATTTCTTCATCTTCTTACTAGCGCGGGCTAAGTAAGACTTGGCCATCTCCATCTTCTCGTGCCAGCCTTTAGCGAACTTGTAGGCCGCCGGACTGTTGCCTCTATACCCCGTTGCCACCGTCGTAGGTGTCAAAGGTTGCTGCCCCGTCGCCAACTCGAATGGACTCGTGTTGGTCGACTCGCTGCGGTGCAAGTTGTAGGAGAACTGTGCCGTATCCATCAACTTCACCCAATCTCGTTGGTTTGCACTTAAGTAGTGCCGCAAGTACACTTCCAACAAGGTATTCACCCGCTCCGTCTGTCCGTCACTTTGAGGATGAAATGCCATCGAGAAGTTCAAGTTTGAGCTCATGATCTTGAACAACTCTCGCCAAAATCTGCCCGTGAAGCGCCCATCTCTGTCGCTCACAATGCTGCTAGGAATGCCCCAATACTTGACCACGTTCTTGAAGAATAGCCGTGCCGCATCCTTCGCCGTTAAGTCTTTTGGCCCAGGAATGAACACTCCATACTTCGAGAATCTGTCCACCATAACCAAGATGCAACCGCATCCATCGACTTTGGGAAGTCCGATGATGAAGTCCATGCTTACACTCTCCCATGGTCGTTGAGGCGTGGGCAAGGGCTCTAGCAAGCCTGTCGGGCTTCTCTGCTCCATCTTGTCTTGTTGGCACACAAGACAAGTCTTCACATACATCTCCACGTCGTCTCTCATACGCGGCCAGAAGTATGCTTCTTCGATGAGCGCTTGCGTTCTCTCGATGCCGGGATGGCCCGCCCACTTGGAATCATGGCACTCCTTCATTATCTCTTTCCTCAAGTTGGCCCATCTTGGCACGAACACCCGCTCTCCCTTGGTCATGATGAGCCCATCCTTCATCCAAAACCGCCGAGTTTTACCTTGCTCGATGTACTCCGCTACGGTTTTGGCGAAGGGGTCATGGCCAAGGCCTTCAACGATCCGCTCCTTCAAAGGAAACGTGGGCTGGCTGATGCTTGCGGCTGCACTCTTGCGGCTAAGAGCATCGGCAACGGAATTCGCCTTGCCTGGATTGTACTCCATGACGAAGTCGAACTCGGCCAAAAAGTCTTGCCACCTCGCTTGCTTAGGGGTGAGCTTCTTCTGCGTCAGAAAGTAGCTCGTTGCCACGTTGTCCGTCTTCACTACGAACTTCGACCCCAACAAGTAGTGCCTCCATGTGCTCAAGCAATGCACCACGGCCGTCATCTCCTTCTCTTGAACTGTGTATCGCCTCTCCGTCTCGCTGAGCTTCCGACTCTCGAAGGCAATGGGATGCCCATCTTGCATCAACACTCCTCCAATCGCGAAGTCGGACGCATCGGTCTGCACTTCGTAGGCCAACGTCGGGTTGGGGAGCACGAGCACGGGCTCCTTCATCACCGCTGCTTTCAAGGCCTCGAATGCTTCTTGGCACCTTTCCGACCAATCCCACGCCTTGTTCTTCTTCAAGAGATCCGTCAAGGGTGCTGCAATGTTGGAGTAGCCCTTGATAAACCTCCGATAGTAGTTGGCAAGGCCGAGGAATGACCGCAACTCTGGCACCTTCGTCGGCGGATCCCATTCTTGGATTGCCTGCACCTTCGCTCTATCCATCTTCAACTTGCCTCCACCAATTACGTGCCCCATGAATGGAACCTCCGTGGCGGCAAATGTGCACTTTTGCCTCTTGACGTACAACTCGTTGTCGCGAAGGACTTGGAAGACTTGGCGTAGATGCTCGGCATGCTCATCGAGTGTTTTGCTATACACGACGATGTCATCCAAGTAGACCACGACAAACCAGTCCAAGAATGGCTCGAACACTTGATTCATCAAAGTGCAAAACGTGGCTGGTGCGTTGGTGAGACCGAATGGCATCACAAGAAAATCGTAAGAGCCATACCTCGTCACACAAGCCGTCTTTGGCTCGTCGCCCTCTGTTATCCGCACTTGATAGTAGCCCGAGCGAAGATCAAGCTTGGTGAACCACATTGCATCTCCAAGCTGGTCGAACAAGTCGGCAATGTTGGGAATCGGCCACTTGTTCTTCACCGTCAACTTGTTGATGGCTCTATAGTCGATGCACATCCACAACGACCCTTCCTTCTTCTTTTGGAACAGCACCGGTGCTCCAAAAGGTGACTTCGATGGCCGCATGTAGCCTGCGTCCACCAAGTCCTTGAGTTGCCTCCGCAATTCTTCTAACTCCGGTGGCGACATGCGGTATGGTGGTCGCGAAGGGGGCTTCGCTCCTGGCTTCAACTCGATCTTGTGATCCACCTCTCTTCTTGGTGGCAGCTTCTTGGGCAACTCCGATGGCATTACGTCATCGAACTCTTCGAGGACGCCTTCGATGATGGGAGTTGTGGTTCCCGTTGAGCCTCCTTCTTCCTCTATCTTCAAGGACACAAGAAAGGTTGGTTCATTCTTCTTGAACCCCTTCACCACTTGCATAGCCGATAGAGCACTATGGGGACCATCTTCTCTCAAGAGATGGACCGCATGAAACTCCCCTTCCTTCTCCAAGCACATCGTGTTGGAGTTGGGCTTCAAGAGCACTCCCTCCTTGTCGAGGAAGTTGATGCCGAGGATGACTGGGTGATCGTCCATGGTGACGACGGAAAAGTCGATGAGGCCTTCCCACTCGCCAAGCTTCATTAGTACGTTGTGAGCAACTCCATGGATCAGGATGGACTCCGAATTGATCGTCTTGAGCCTCCCTTGCCCCTTCTCGTAGGCAATACCCAGCCGGTTTGCCTCCTCGATGCGAAGAAAGTTGTCCGTGGCACCGGTATCCACCAAGGATTTTGACTCGCCTTGCATGAATTGCGCCAGAACATAGCACCTCCCACGCTTGCTCTCCTTGACGTCGGTCTTCGCCGTGCCAAGCTTGCGGATTGAGCCAATCTTGGCCTCCGCCGCCTTGGGCTCCTCATCTTGAGCTTCCAAGGCCGCCAATCTCGCCTTCCTTGGGCAATCCCGCACTCGATGTCGTCCGTCGCAAAGGAAACAAGTCATGGGTTTTGGCTCGTACTTACCCCCTTTGCTCGAACCACCTTGGTGTTGTTGAGTGCGAGAACCCTCCTTGAAAGGCTTCTGCTGTTCTCCACCCTTGTTAGGCTTCGAACTCTTCTCTTTGCCGCTGCTCTCTTGCCTTTTGTACTCGACAAAAGACTCTGCCGTGGCCATGACAGTTGCAAGGTCTTGCACTCCTCGACGTTGCATCTCCATCTTTGCCCATGGTTGCAGCCCATCAAGAAAGCCGTGCATGGCCTCCTTATCCGTGATGTCCGGGATCTCTAGAAGCAGCTCCGAGAATTCTTTCACGTATTCTCGAACTCCACCCCTCTGGATGAGTCTTCTCAACTTCGAACGGGCTTCAAACTCCACATTCTCTGGGTAGAACTGCCTCTTGATTTCTCTCTTGAAATCTTCCCACGTTACCATCACACAAGTACCTCTTTCGACGTCCGCTTCACGTCGCCTCCACCACACCATGGCAACATCAACCAAGTAAAGTGGAGCGGTACGAATCTTTACCTCATCCTCTTGGATGCCGGACGCCTTGACGTACTGCTCGAGACTCCAAAGGAAGTTCTCTAACTCCCTCGCATTCCTTGAACCTCCGAAACTCTTCGGTCTTGGAATATCAGCACGTGGGACGGATTGCACCGTGGCTGGTCCGCTAGCCATGGCTCTCTTCTCGAGAGTGACCTCACTCTTGAGATCTGCAATCTCCTCCTTCACGCCGACCAGCTCAGCCTGGACATGCTCTTTCACAACCGCAATGGCAGTGCTCACGGTTTCGGAGATGGTGTTGGTGATGAGAGTCACGAGCTCTTCTCGCATCCCATCATGGTTGATCTCCAAGCTCGACAAACGAGCATTCATACCTTGAAAATCGCTTTCGACTTGGGCGAAGTTAGCTCCCAAATCCTCGATGGCGGTGACATCTTCAGAAAGCTTCACCTCCATCCTCGAGACTCGCCTCTCTAGAGATCTGAGAGGATCACGAGTGCTCGACTTGTCTTTTGGCCTCCCGGTTGGGGTAGGCTCTCGGCCACGATGCTTCTCACCGTCGTCATTGACTTCTGATCCCGACATTTCTGGTGAGGTTCTTCTTTTTCTTCTGGCTCTAGGTTCAACTTTGCTAGCACAAAGCCGAACCAGGCTCTGATACCACTTGTCACGACCTTACTCTCGATCGTGCGGCCCTAGCTCTCAACTCCGTTAGAGCGTTAGGTAGCCTTTCTCTCAAACTCACAAGCAAGCAAAGACAAGAACAAAGACCAAGGATTGGGAGAACTCTCAAGTGTGTATTACTCTCAAAAATGATGGAATGAGTTACAAGTGAGGGAGATAGCTCCTTATATAGGCCTCTCCTCATACACATCAATGCCCCTCATAATGGTCCCTCTACATCAATACACCCCATAAAGTCCCCCCATAATGCACTCTAATAATGCTACCCATAATGTAGCCCATAAGTGCACCATTAAGCTCTCATTTAGGTGGAGAATCCTAGGAGCATCTCTATGCTACTAGTCTTCCATGCAGCCGCCATGTTGTCACCTTATTAGCGCCATGTCATCTACCACATGTGACATTTCCCACGCACCATAAATCCATGACTGAATATGCCACTCTAATCTTACATCAATTTATTTATGCCTCGTGCTATTTCTCCAAAATAAAATAAAAAATGAAAGCCTCGTGCTCTATATTTTCACATACAAAAAGTGCAACTGTGAGCAACAAAAACAACAAACAAATTGTTTGCGATGTAGTAAAAACAGAGATCTGTAGGATTGTTCGCTCGACAACTACCACATTTAAAGCCGGTACCAGTAGCAGATCATCATCATTATCATTCATCAACTACTCACACTGCATTTTCTCTCTGTCGATCCCCTTACCATATTATCCCTCACGCTTTCTAGTTCGATTCATCTCTCTGTTGAAGACAGACCCCAAGAAGAGGAGGAAAAAACCCAACAGGCAATGGCTTCCCCACCATTCCTCCCATTGCTCCTTCTCCTCTTGTCTCTGCTACTCCTCTCTCCACCTCAATCTTATTCTTACGAGTCGGACAAGGTGAACCTGACCCTGTATTACGAAACAGGTTGCCCCTACTGCCGCGACTTCATCATTCATCCTCTAGCCCAAGCCATGGGTTCCGATCTCGTCAACATCGTCAATCTCAGGCTCGTCCCTTGGGGCAATGCCTACAGCATTGGCTCCACAATCGTTTGTCAACACGGTGAAGATGAATGCTTGCTCAACAGAATACACGCCTGCATAATTGCCGTCGCGGTAAATAACCCCTCCTGAATACACTTACTTTTCTTTCTTTCATTGGGGAACATGAGAATGGTATGCCCAGCTAAGGTTTGATGGCTGCTGCTGCAGAGGCAACCTTACATGTTCGACATCATCAAGTGCACCGAAGAACAAGAAGAGCAACAAGCAGCTAATAATATGAGTAGTAACCCATCAGCTGTATGGACTTATTGTGTCGACAAGCTGCAGTTTCCAAAATCACCCATCGAGCATTGCTCCAATAGCGGGATGGGGGAAAAGGTGAAACACGCTGTGTTTGTGTGAAGAAAAAAAAATGTGCAACTCCTTTTTGAACTCGTAAAAAAACTTCAATGTATAACTACTAACCTGAGTTTGGACTTGTGGGTCTGAAGCTGCTGCTGAAGTATGGCTACGACACTACCCATCTGAAGCCGCCACTTCGAGGTGTACCCTGGGTAACTGTCAACGGGATCCCTCTGGCTCAGGTTAGCCATATCTCAGAAATTCCTCAAGTTTTCTGATGCTGTTGAGTTGCCGTTACTTACTCGAAACTGGGTGGTGCAGGAGTACAAGAAGTTTGTGTCATATGTCTGCAACGCGTACAAAGGCAAGTCGCTGCCCAGTGCTTGCAGGAAGAGTAGTCACGACACCGAGAAGAGTAGTAATGAGGAACATATGTGCTACAGAGCATAATGCTCAAAGTAAAATTTTGCTTAGCCTTGTGAGGCTTCCTATCAGTCCAGAAAAGTAACAACCTTGTGAACTAGGAGATATCAATAGTTGGTTGAGATTACTAAACTAGATGGATTTAGAAGTTATGCAACAACCAGTCAGGATTGTTACCTGTGAGTTTCTATCAATCTATTGTTTTCTGGTATGAATCTGGTAGAAAAACCATGTATTTGCAGAATACATGATATTACACACATTCTTATACTGTCTTCTACAAGTACAAAATACAAACCCTAGGTAAATCTTTACTGCGTCATAGTTCAAAAATAACACTGACATTATAGAAAGTAAGAGACACAGAGAGGACGCTTTTCCGGAAATCACTGATCAGCAGAGCCAGAGGTGGATGAAAAGAGGAGAGCAGGGAAGCACCCTGGGATATTACTGATATGTTAAGAATTGTAGATTTCATGGTCATTGGTTCTTTCGAACTAATAACTACAATGACATATGGTACAGAAAAGGTGTTAGTAACACACACACACACACTATCTCCATGGAACCAGATCAGCAGGAAACAGATCAGAGAGCTCTGAAGGAACCGATGGATGTTTGAATGCCTATCGGTGATTTATCAACTTCCAAATGCTCTCACATGTTTCAAATGGAGTTGATTCTGCTGGGTTGAACTCAAACTTCTCAACCATCCTCTTATCCAGGTCTACTATATCTAAAGCTGGAATTAAGAAAACCCAAGCAAGCATGCTACAAAACATATCAGAAACGTCTTTGAAGGAAAAAAAAAGAGAAACTAACCATATATGATTGGCTTAGACAAGGATACGGCCTGAGATATTGGAACGATCGCCCAAGTCGGGAATGATATTCGTCACAGAAGCATACATCGAAAGCTTCTTCCTGTAAATGTCAAACCAAAGTATGCTTCACTTCCTGTTGGGCAAAGAGATCAACAAAATCCAAAGATTATATTTTCCACAGATGACATCATAGGAGCCTTATCTACTACTCACTGTGCCCTCGACTCTTCTCGATCCAGTTTCTTTCTCAATTGAATTTGCTCGTCAACGGAGCCCCTTCGCTGCTCTAAATCACTGATCTGATTGTTGATCACTGTGTTTGACAGAATAAGAAACAAAACCAATCAATGGAAGGGAACAAACATTTCATAAACTCAAACCATCGATTTCATAATATATACAGATGCCCTTATCTGAGATCCTCTCGTAAAGCACGTTCCTTTTCGAGCTCAGCTTCCAACTCCTTCTGTAAAAGGTCTATCTCTGCTTCATCACGCACCTCCAGTTTTGCCTTTTGAGTCTTCCGCTTGCATTCCTCTATCTTTCTCTCGTAATCTGAACAAAAAGACAGTGACTTCGTCGGGTAACACAAAATTGATTCCAGAGTCAACTCAGACTCAAGACTCCGAAACATACATAATTCCCTAGATTTCCACCCAACGGAACAAAAAGTCATGGGAAACATACTGAAAAGAGCTCCTATTGACAATCATAAATCTGGAAATGCATAGCAGTGCAAACCAAGAGTTCAAAATTCAGAGGTAGATACTAGATGGAGAAAAGGGAGGGACCTTCGAGCTGGGTGTGGGCCTCGTCGAATTCCGCCTCAGAAAAGGTGTGAAGAGCTTTCGACTCGTCAAGACATTGGGCCAAGGAATGAATGCTGGTTTGCTTCTTCAACACCGCCACCAGATCGTCACTAAACGACATTAACTTGTCCAGATTGGTTCCCCCAAGTAAATCCGCCATCGTTCCTGGAAATGCCCAGCAGCTGGAAGAAGGTGAGCCGGTTTTGACCGAGTTAGGGTTTATATCTTTGCTCCTGCTCCCCGATAAAGCCTAGAAGCTGAAAGAATTAAGGTCGACTGATCCAAGCTCCCGAGGGGGTTAGAGCTCGATTGTGAGGACGCCGCCGGTTTCACTTGGATTCTGGCGGAGGAAGCTGTGGATTTTTTAGTGAAGAGGAGGAGCGGAGACTGGATAAGAATAGAGAGTGGAGTGGAGACTGGAGAGTGTATGAGAGGGAAAACTCAAAACAGAAACACTCGAAATCGGATGTTTGAGTTTGAGAAGATTGAGCAAGCAGATACGACGCCGTATAGCCTTGGCTAACAAAACCACCTCCAGGCTCCCGCCTTTCCTTCAATTGAGATTGAAAATTAAAGGGTTAATTGCACCGGATGTCACGTAAGTGGGGTTATTGTTGGACGGTTATCACTTAAACATAATTAGTGGCAATTAATTTTTTTACGTCGTTCTCCGGTAGCAACATTACCAGTTCCGTCTACAGAAGTAACGACAGGTACCATGGAGGTAATTTTCCTTACACGCAAGAAGGACATGTCAGCACCTCTTGCTGACTCAGCTTCGGATCAGTCGACCTTAATTCCTTCCCGCTCATTTCTTCCCGCGCGGCTTGCCCTTATACCGCTCTTCCTCCTGCTTTATATTCGCTCAACTCTCTCATTTCTTCCTTCCATGTGCCAAAATTGCTATAAAAAAACACACCCTTCTCTCAATTCATTTATGCCTGCTTCCTCTTTCCTCCAAGTCGGTCGACAATGGCGGCTGCAGGTCCAATGTGCCAGTGCACGGTACCGACGGTTCTTCGGACTTCATGGACCGATGGCAACCCCGGAAGACGGTTCTTTGGTTGCACCAATTACCGGGTAAGCTGATTAGATTAGATTAGATTAGATTAGAAAGATTAAACCTTAGATTTCATTTTGTCAAACCTTTTTAATATGTAAACTATGGATCTGATTCTTCTCTTGTTTGATTCGTAGGGTGCAAATGCATGCAATTATTTTCGTTGGATTGATCCACCACTTGAAAATATTATTGAGGCCTTGTTCTTACCTTGCACAAGAGAATCCGAGAGGTGGAGAGGAGGAACGATAGCAGCTCATATGTCCGAAAAATCAGCAAAAGTTTTTTTTTATTGTGGTTGGAGCTCTTTTGGCAAAGAGTGTGAAGGATTCCCTGTTTGGAAACAAGTAATTAAGTGGGAACCTGTTGTGGATTATGTAATGCTTTAGGGAACCTGTTATGGATGATAATAATGTGTTAGGGAAACTTGTTTTGAATGATGTAAAAATCATCAAAAGTGTTACTATGGCTAGCTGATGCTTAAAAATAGATTAGTCTTCCTGTTTAGTTTTATACCCAAAACCAGCCTACATAACAACTATGCTAAAAGCTGCTGCAAAATAGATCAACCTACATATTTGGTGATCGAAGTCAATGACTGTATATGGATATAAACACCAAAAATTGTGTTGAAATCAGAACGCCCAAAAAAGTAGCTTATAATCATGTAAGTGCCCAAAAAACAAAGGAAAACAAGGACTGCATCCTACTACCTAAACCCCACACCCCATTTGTCTACGAAGATCACATCTTCCCTTCCCTCTTGGACTTTTCCTCTAACAGGAAGTTTGCTTGCCTCTCCTCACCTTGTGCAAAGCGTGATGCTTGTCCCTCGGATTGATTGCTTTGTCGAGGTGGTAGAGAACCTGAGGTGAAGCTTTAGCTGCTTTGTTGGGAGGGAAAAGAGGTAGTTTCAGCTTGACTTGAGGGATGCATTGGACGAGTTTGAGTGCTTCCCTACAAATTAGAAGCAATTTGTAAGAATCTCACAAGTTACAAAGAACATAATAATGGTTGTTAAACATTAGGACCATACATCAGGCATCCATTGTAATACAACACCAGTTGAACCCGCCGGTGGTGTGCTTCCCTACAAACCATAAACACAAACATCAGAACTGAAAATTTTCTCAAGTAACCAATCATAAAACTATTTGTCTCACCTCGGTTGCTGAGTATTTCCCCTTCTTCCCCTTTGAATGGAATGACTTGTTGTGCCTTGCTAGCTTACACACACTACAATGAATGGTTCCCCCCTTTCCTTTCCTACTCATCCTCTCATTTGCATCTCTAAACTTGTCTTTTTTTTTTTCTCAGGGCATGCTGTCTCCTCAATGCCCTTTCTCCTTTTGGTTTGATGCCTTACTTTATTTGATTCACCTACAACCAACGGTGGGGGCAACACAGGTTCCTTCCCACTTGGCAGCCAAGACTCTGGCCCAACCATTGGTTCCACCTCACCAGAGTAAGCCTGAAGGTAAGCATTGACCTCATAGCACTCATCCACTTAATGCTCTACCCTTTTTGAGAGTTTCCATATGTAGCATATGGCATGAGGGCAGGGTAAACCTGGTAACTCCCACATCCTACAAGTGCACTTGGACTTACTGACATCAACAACTACCTAACCTTGAGGACATGAAACCTGGAACTTCTGTGGACCACTCTGAATGGCATTACAAGTGAAGCTAGCTTTCTAAGCCAAGTCTAGCCTTCTCTGAATGTTAGGACATAATCGACCTTTGAATTTCGACTCAGCTTTTACCTTCCTAGAACGAAACCTGTGCATCAAGATTTTCCTAATAGTCTCGAACATGCTTATAATAGGTTTGGTCCTAGCTCCTAGTAGAGAGTTATTCCAACTTTCACAAATATTGTTTGTCAGCACAACTGACTTGGAATATGGTTGGAAATGTGACCTCGTCCATTGTGAGAATGGCTTGTCAAGCAACCACCTATGAGCATTCTCATTAACACCCTTAAACTCATTCATGCACCTCTTAAATTCTGATTCATAGCTAGCTCTAGCTCATGACCATAACAAGTCTCTTTTTTTGTTACCTCCTTGCGCCCTAAACAAATTGGAAACCAGATGCCTCACACAACATCGGTGCTCAGCATGTGGAACAATAATCTCTAGAGCATTCAACAGACCCTACAAAACAGCATAATAAAACAAATACATCTTAATACCACATTACTCTACAACAAAACAAAACATTATAAAATAACAACATTATAAAAATATTCTTACTTTTTGCTTATCTCACATAAATGTCCATTTTCCTAAATCCTCGAAGATATCCAGGTCTAGACATAGCTGGTTTATGAACCAGGTCCAGTCATCTCCATTCTCAAATTTGACTGCGGCATATGCTAGAGGAAAACTCCCCCCCCCCCCCCCCCGGTTCCCATCTAGGCTAACTGCAGAGAGTAATTATCCTCCATAGTCTGTCTTCAAAAAATATCCGTCGAGAAGAACTACTTTCCTGCAGAAAGCAACCCCTTGCTTACAAGGTTGCAAACAACAATACATCCTCTTGAAGACATTAGAATGCTTAGTTGTTTCCACATAACAGGTTGAACCAGGGCTTGTCCTAACAACTTGAGCACAGTAGTCTTGAAGTTTATGATACTACTCTTTAGCATTGCGTCTCAATAGATCTATGGCAAGATGTCTGATTCTCCATGTTTTCCACCTTGAAATAGTCCAATGGTAATCTTCTGCAACTCTTTGGACAATTGAGGCAACCCCCCATGCTTTAGAGAACAAGATCTTGTCTGAATTGCCTTTCCATCATTAGTCGGGGCTCCCCATATGTTCCATGGACAACCTGTTTGACACACAACTTGGACACTTTTACTGTCACTATGTTTAAACTTTAGCGGGTGCTTGCTCTTGATGGAGTAGTTCTTCACGGGGTCCTTGTAAGTGTCAAAATCCATGAAATTTTGGTGTAGACAGAAATGGGGATCGCTCATGTCCTTCTCTGGATTGAACTCGGGATACCTTGGACGACTTGGAACCCTCAATACTTCTTCTTCATCATCTGATGAATGGATGCTGCCTAGGTAGTGTGAATCATATACATCATCCTCAGAATGGACATCAAATGCATCATCAATGTATGTTTCATGACTGCCATCCCCCCAACCCCCCATCGTTGCTTTGCCCCTCCATATCTTCATCACTGCCCTCAAAATCAGCATCCTAACCTGATTTCAGGTCACTCTCTACAAGGTAATCAACATGATCAACATTGTTTTGGCAGCCCACATCATCTTCTAACTCGGTCCTTCCCCTGCTGTTACTTTCAGTTTCACTAGATTTGAATATTGTCTCTGTCATTTCATGTTGAACTTCAGCTAGGCTAGCTTTGGTTAATTCTTCTTTGTAGAGATCAGGTAGATCTCTACAAATTTGGTATCCTGAATAACCTTGGCAGCCATTTCCATAATTTCTTTGTCACTTATCAGCTCTTGTAGTCCTTCCTTCAATCGTTCTCCTAGTAGCCTCCAATAGTATGCCCACCCATTTTTCATTATATATTCCTCCAACATCCTGACACTTTTCGAGAAGCCAAACTCAACAAGATATCCATCCATTTCTAACAAAGACAAGCAATCTGGATCTATCCAATCCAGGCACTTAACTTCCCCGCCGAAATAACACAAGTCTTCGTCTAGTATGTACACAATCTCTCCTTTCTAATGCAGCTCGGTAGTGAACTTATCATCATCGATTCCTAACAAAAACAATGAAGCCGAATTTAGCTTTAAGAAATCTAACATCAACTGATGAAAAGTGCAGCAGCAACACACAAATCCAACTCACCATATGTTGGTATCTGATTGGTATCTCCTACTTCCCTAATAGCTGGACTCATTTTCATTCATCAAAGCCAAGGAAACACATGATTGCTGTTATATGTAACCTGCCATTACAGAACAAACCTCGGATTCAGCAGTAACACACCACAGATTCATCTATAGAGAAAATCAATTTCGTCTTTCAGGAGGCCGGAGAATCGAGACTCACTTAATTACCTATTTCAATCCATCAACAAGTTATCTTCGTCAACAAGCTATCTTCGTCAATCTATCATTTCAAAGCCCTAAGAACATGATGAAAAGAAATCAGAATCAAGGAGTAGAGGAAGATCGAAGAACTTGCAGATGCATGAGACTTTTTACTTACCATAATAAATAGAAGATGTGATGACTTTAATCTACGTTCTTCACGCCCTATTTTTTAGTATGAGGTTGATCTTGCTAATCGGCTCCCCTTGCAGTCGCACAATCTCTTTGGAGGAAGGATTTCTGTGCTTTTGAAATTAAAGAACATAATAGGGAGGAGGGAGATGAGAAGTCGGGTGATCGTACCCTATGTTTCTCTGCATGTTGGTGGGTGGGTTGGGTGGGCCCAGGGTTAGGTGTGGCCCGAAGCTGAGTCAGCAAGAGGTGCTGACCTGTCCTGCTTGCGTGTTAGAAAAATTACCTCCACGGTACCTGTCGTTACTTCTGTAGAAGGAACTAGTAATGTTTCTACCGGAGAACGACGTAAAGGAATTAGTTGCCACTAATTGTGTTTAAGTGGTAATCCTGCAACAATAATCCCACTTAAGTGGCATCCGGTGCAATTAACCCAAAATGAAAAGAGCCTCAAGTCCTCTCAAGCCTCGAGGAATTATTCTTGACGGTTGGGTCTACCAAGGTAAGTTTAACAAGTCCCGTTGTGACCCCAAAACGACTGCCTTTAGCGAGGCCAAAAATCCCCAAAATCGGGCTCCTCCAATCAGACCCCAAAACTGCGTAACTTTCCCATTTCTTCTCCCAACCTTCCCCACCGCCGCTCGGCCACTCCCAACCCTCGCTGCCGTCCTTCCTCCTTCTCTGACTTCTTGGTAGCGGCGGGGGATTGGTGGGTGCGGCGGGAGGATTGGTAGCGGCAGCGGAGCTTGAGTACGGGTGCGGCGGCGGCAGATCCAAAATCGGATGAGGGAAGAAGAGGAATCAGCGGCGGAGCTTTAGTGCGGGCGCGGCGGCGACAGATCCAAAATCAGATGAGGGAAGAAGAGGAATCGACGGCGGAGCTTGAGTGCGGCAAGATGCGGCGGCGGCGGAGCATGAGTGTGGATGTGAGGTCGGAGGAGATGAAGAGAGATGAAGATTGAAGATGTGGAGAAAGGAAGAGTCGTGTGATTTTCAACTCTCTGTCTCCCTTTTATTTTTTTATTTTTTTCATGTAATTAAATAATTATTATAATAAGAAACTATTTCGGGTAGTCGATAACCTAGGCCTTAAGCATTAATCGAAGCATGCTGTCAGTCGGTGGTCAACAACCCAAAAAGGCTAGTTCGGCTAACCGAAAACCTATATTTCGATTGTCGGTTAAATTGAAACAGATCAAAATCCAACCCTAATTAGTAACTCTTTCAAGTGGTGTCTTCGTTTTACCATACTTATCCTCGAAGGAGAGCAGTATAAATACAATAATATGTAAGGCCTATGTTTGGCCCTGCTTTTATAAGTAATTTTCAGATTCAAAAGCTGAAGCAGCGCCAAACACTTCTAAAAGCTCGCCTTTTCAAAAGCCAAAAAGCGCTTTTGTATAACATAAAACCAGAAGCTTCGATTTGGAGCGAAAGGCTGTTTTGAAAATACAATATTATCCTTACCAAATTTTATTTTAGAAAATATAATTTTCTTTCATTTATATCATTTTAAAAATAAAAGAAATTATAAAATCATATTATTTAAAATAAAAGAAATATAACAAGATCCTTTTTGACTACTTTTATTGTGTTTTATTCATATTTTATATTATAAGTCCTTTATAGTCATTTAACACAAACTCTCATATTAAAAAGCACTTATAATAGTTTTTCAGCCAAATACTCAACTACTTTTTTTGAAAAGTACTTCTCTAAAAGCTCCAGTCAAAAGCTGCTTCTGCAAAAGCTATAATAGGGCCAAACTAGCCCAATATATTAGGATTTTTTGGTGGTGGGTTTTGTGGGGATGATGAATGATGATGGTTATGATCTAGAAAGTGGCAGATATTTATTTTGTTTTATAATTTATTAGGCGTAATTTAGTCATTTTGAAATTGTCAGATTATGGTTTGGCCAGATTTAACGATTTTGGATGGAGAAGTTTACGGAGGGGCACGTTTGAGAATGTGTCATAGTAGAGGTGCAACTTAGATGTGAAATATAGTAGAGGGGCATGTGTTGAGAAAAATGCATAGTAGAAGGCCAAAATATACAATTAACCCTTTTTCTATTTTCTCCTCTATCCATCTCATGAAAAAATCAAAATAGCAAAATAAACAAGAATTGGGTGGGGGTTTTATTACATAAGTGGATGGCTCTACTACTGTTTAGATCGTCGTCGTGCAACTATTCAAGATCGCGATTGATCTCCCGTAACTAACACATGAAAAAGAGGCAAGGGTACTTATCGTTCTAGAGCAGTATAGCAGGAATCAAGGTCGTATCTACAGAGACTTCGTGTACTAGTACTAAGTTTTTACCTATTATCTAGTAAGCTGTTTTTAGTTGATTTTCAAGTATAGGATTTCACACATCAATAAACAAGACACAAACAAACAATTTCAAAGTAAAATCAAGAGGAGAAGGCGCTGCCCGGGAAATGAACCTCCCTAACATACATTATACAAACAAGGTGAATTCAACATAGAGGTGTGTTCAAATCTTAGACCGTGAAAATTCCCAATTTATTGTTAACCCGTTCGCACATGTATTAACACCCTTTCGACTTACAAGACTCTAAAACCAAAGCATTAACCTTATATATGAATTCCCCGTATTAGGTTTTTAAGCTAATACAGAGGAACTATGTGACCCCATCGCCGGTGGCTCCGATCAATTAATTCTTTTCACAAGAGATCTAACGTGCAAAATTACCTCACCGTCGCATTTACATGTATCAGAAAAAATATACAATAGACGCACATTATTGATACTTGCACATGATAACTCGAGAAAAGATCGTAAGACGACAACAACACGTTTATGTCAAAGATGTCACTTAATCCATACAAAGCATATCAGGGTTCATCAAGTCCGGAACAACTAGGAGATTAGCGGACATGATGAGGGTTAGAAAGAGAGATGGAGGGAGTTACCATGATAATGATGATGATGATGCCAGTTCGTGTTCATATCTAGAACTCGGTCATCTTCCAGGTCGTGTTCATAGCTGGATGCCAGTTCAATGTGTCAGCGTTGCAGAGATTGATTGGCTGAATATTTTACTCAACGTGGTCTGAGAACACGGCCGTGTTCCGGGCCGTGTTGACTAGTAGGTGGACGAAACTGTTGGTTGCTCCCTTAAAACGTGCAAGAAAGGTCGACGTGCCCAACCAACACGACCGTGTTCTCGGGCCATGTTAGATCCAACGACCGACAGCGTCATAAATGTGATCTCTGCGCCAAAATGAATGTGAACGTGATTCTGAAAGTAAACACGACCATGTTCGAGGCCGTGTTCGAGGCCATGTTCGAGGTCGTGTTTACTGTCAGAATCACATTCATTTCATCTGTTCATTAATTGCAGTTTCTCAAAGTAAATATGGTGGAGGATGTGTACATTCGTAAGGATGGAAAGCAATACCAGTGATAATGACGATGTTTCAACAAAGATCAAGCGGTGGTATTGTCAAAAGCAATCCAGCCCCTGACAGTGGTGCACTAAGGTTTTCCTACACGCTACTGTTGGACTCTATGGTTGGAAAGAAATTCCAGAATTTTCAATTGGGAGGCAGCTTCCCCTCAAGTCACATCTTTTTGTATTGGATGCCTAATCGCAAGCTGGGTGTCCGCGACAGAGAAAGTCGACAAGCAAGTGGTCAAAACTTGGGTAAAGCAGGCTGATTCACAGGTCTAGGCGAACCCCCCCCCCCCCCCCCCCCCCCACACACCCCCAGTTAGGCGAATGAAGCATTTGACGTTTTGCTTTCCCTGCCTGCGAAACTTTTAATTGTCTCCTTGGGGTTTCGTTTGCTTTCCATGCAGGGGTCTTCCATTTTCACTCCAGGGTCCTTCCTTTAGTCTTTTGCCACTTGCTTCTCTTTCTTGTGTATTTTCTCTGTGTTTGTTTTCTCCTCTGTTCCTGCCTTGTTTCGACCTGTTTGTTTCTTTTTTTTCTAATTATTAATATATATCATCCTTATAAAAAATGTGTG